ATGTTATTTAAATTATTAATTTTTTTTATTTATTTAAAATCTGTAATATTAAATATATATACTCATTTAATAACATATATATTAAAGAATTAATATGTGATTAGAAAGATAAAATCTACCGTTAATGGAGATATCGAATAAAATATATATTCTCTTTATTGTGTAGCTATCACAAATCTATTATTCGAATAGAGATTTGATCTTCATAATAACATATTAATTCTGTAATAATTTTATTACTTTGATTTAGGCTTTGATTATAGGATAGTCTTTTCCAGCCCTTTGTGTATATCTATCGAACGAGCTTCACAATTGTGTATATATGAAATTTATGGTCATTTTTCCCACGAGGCCACAACCTTGACATCTTCAATTGGGTGTAAAGGCCTATCTGCTGCGCTAGTTCTCCAAATTCCAATTCGTTGTAAGTATTTTTTCTAAAAAAGAAAAAAAGTCGTCTTTAATTATGCATGCTTATCTTTGTTGCGGTAAATTAATATTCAACACTTTTAAGAAAAGCCCAATTCTTTACTTCAATTGGGGCAGGAAAAATAATGTTTTAAGTTCTAACTAGAGAAGGATTTGTAATTCAAGTAAATTAGGATAGGAATACGAATCTGCTAGGGAAAATTATGTAAATCCAAGTTAGGATAGGAATTATCTGTCAAAAAAATTTATATATATAAATGTCTTTTTATTACTAAGTTGTGCAAAAAAGTTTCTGCATATCATTACTCTTTTTATTATTAGGGTTATTTTGTGCATCAACAATCTTCTTTGCTTTATATATATGCAGTTCAAAAGATGTATCCATCATACTGTGCAACTAAGTTAGTGAAACTTGGGGTTTTGCTTCTGCTTGTAAGTATAATTTTCGACTTGTCTCTTGTGGCTGGCAGTGCTGTTGGGCGGAGAGGTGTGGGTGGCCATGGTGGTGGTGCCCATGGTGGAAGCGGGCACGGTGGTAAAGGTGGTCATGGTCGTGGTATTCTCCCGGGTCCTGGTAGAGTTCTACCCGCTCCTCATAGAAGCAGTGCATCCACCCCTACTAACCTGTTGCTTAGCCCAACCTTGCCTCCCCTGATTTCCTTCTCAGCGATTCTCTTTGTGGATTATGCTCTTATTTTTTAGAATTAGCCTAGCATTCAAGATTATGTAATTAATAATATATAGATTTTTTTTTCTTCAAAGATTATAATTATATTGATCATTCTTGATTTTGGATTTACACATTCATCCCTATATCTCAAATATTATAATGATGATAGGGCATTGCTAAGTGTGCCGGGTAATCATAATGTTATTTGTTTTTTTTTTTTTTTTTAAATTCACTTCTCCCCAATTAAGCACGGAATTTTCGATAAGTCAAAAGACTATTCCATTTATTATCAATTACTTTTAATTGGATACAATTGAGTCTATATGCATAATTGATCAACGGCTGAAATTCAATAATAATAAATTATTTTTTATATGTTGAATAGATCTAGTGGTTTACAATAATTTGATGAAAAAACAAATAATGATTTAATATAAACAAAATAAAACAAGTAGATAAAATTTATTTCAATTTCAAAACAGAAAAGAAAAAGTCAAACATTCATACTTGAGAAAAAAAAAAGAAGAGACAGACCTAAAAATTTAAATTCCTAATAAATATATTTTTTTAATTAAAAGAAATCGGTTATTTGTTGGGCTGATGCAATTTTCGGTTTTGGCCCAGCACAATGGACCGAACACCAAACCAGATAATTTCAGTATTGGGCCGAACCCGGACTGTTGGACCTAAAGCCAGATTAGCCCGAGCCAAATAATATACAATTCGGGTCAGCATTCGGTAACCCGTTCGGATCGGTCATTTTTACCTAGTCCTAGGAATCCTCTAGGCCCTAGTTTTAATGGAGAAGATTTTTCGCTCTCGAAAACAATCTTTTAGCATTAATGAATTTGACAATCAAGACCAAAATTAAAGGAATTCATATTTTTTAAAGGTATGTTTGGAACTTACTCTTTTGAGAGTATATTTGAATTTGATCATTTTAAATTTAATATCTCTGTTTGTTTTCATAAAATAAATATATAATTGAATTTAACTTAAGTATATATAATTGGATTGTGTATTTCATTACTTTAAAATTCATATATTTCAAATTTTCTCTTAACTCCGTGTATTTCAAATTTTGATTCATATATTTCAACTCTTCTAATTCCAATGGAGCTCCACGGTAGATGATTTCTACTTCCCCACCTATCCTTCAACTGCCCATAACAAACTGAATCTCTAGCTAAGCAAGTTTGTATTCCCCTTTTTGGCAATGGGTGGGCAATGATATATGTGATTGGCAACCATCATAGTGGACAACTCCTAAGGCATATTGAGCAAAGTAGAGTAGTGGACACATGCAACTAGAGTGTCCTGACAAGTGAAGATTAAACGCATGTGGATGAACTGGCATTGGGTGTAAATAAAAGGGTGAATTTAGTTGAAAGTTTATGATAGAGACCTTTTCAAGGGCAGAGGAGGAGTGGGAGGTGGAGGTGGAGAAGATGATAAGGAAGGAGGAGTGGTTGGAGAGGGAGACGAAGAAGTGGGAGCCCTTAATTGGATCAAGACTAGGCGAGAGGGAATATGGTAGATGGGAGTGGATTCCACGGTATCAAGGTTAAAAGCATGGTAGCTAGAGGGTTGATCAAAAATTTTCTTGAGATTGATATTTGTTCTGTTGGTGGGGGATGCTGGATTTTGGTATTAGGGATTTTTTTTACTTCTTGTTTGTTAGCAGATGGGATGAAATGAAAGTTGTTATTTAGCTTGGGCTTGTGACTGAAGTTGCAAAGGGATTGTCTTTGAAGTGTTTGTAAAAATACCTCAAAAAACAACTTAAATATCAAATTCATTTTTGTTATATTAATCAAAATAGTGAACTTAAAAATATATGTATTTGAAATTACATGTATTTAAAATACATCCCTAAAATATAAATTCAAGTTTCCAAACATAACCTAAAGGTTTTTGTTTTGTAATTTAAATTGTCTTTGATTATAAAATTAAAGTTTTGAATAAGAGGTTCTATCAAAAAAAAAAAAAAAAAGTTTTGAATAAGAGGTTCTAATGCCGAGGAGTCCCCTCCCAATTTATGAGCCACCATTTTACAATTTTATACCGTTTGAATTTAAAATAATTTTTTTAAATGATTATGTGAAAATTGTGGGTTTCAATACAAAATTTATATCAAATCTAAAATTAATTGATGATAGGTGGATATACTTCTTGATATATTATATATGGATTTTTCTATCAATAGATTATGAATGATGTTATAGGGATAACTTTTTTATATCATATTTTTATACAACTTTCATATGTTATTAAATGAGTGAATACATTCAATATCACAGGTTCCACATGAATTAAAAGAATCAATTATTTAAATAACATATCAAATTATACAAAAAAATGAGACAAAAAAGTTATACAAAAATCATTTCTCATAGATTATATAATCATTATTATCAAAGAACTTTACAAAAATCAACCCACAAAAACTTAGTTGAATTAGTATTTATTAATTTAAGATTAAATGTTAGAAATTTAAACCCATATAATACCAAATAATAAACATTAAAATAAAACATTAAAATAAAAAAAAATAAAAAAAAAATAAAAAAAAAATAAAAAAAAACCTACCAAGATCAAAATTTTGGGTTGTTTACATATCTTACTTTTATGCAATCATATACACCTCTCCTATTTTAAAGATCCAAAGTTTGGCTTCCTATCATTAAATAAAAAGTTTCCCCTCGTGGGTTGGATTCATGTGATACAGGTTAACATGGAAAAGGAACAAAGAACAGGTATATTCATGTGAATGTTTTGGTCTAAACCTATAATCGTACTATGTTTTTGTCCATAATTGACGGCCACCTAATTTCTGTTGCATGCAAGTTGTGGACAAACTCAAAGCTACATGTTAGGAGTTCTAAAAACAAATATAAACCACACTAGCAAATGAAGAAAAAAATAAATTTAAAATCTTGAAATCTTTATGCAACTGCAAACTGAAGAAATGCACGTCTTGGTAAGATGATGACAGTATGTATATGTTTACCAAATTAGTCTGCTAATACAATTAGGATGAAATTTGAGGTGTTTAACATGAGATGCATTCTTTGGTCAAAAAATAATGAAATGCTTTCGATATGAATCCAACTATTCATAAAGAATTCCATCTTGCATCTCTTTTGTTCCAAAATTATAATTTAACTTCATTATTTGATTTCTAATTTTGAATTTATTCATTCTACGTAAGAAACGCATACTTTATGAAAAAAAGGAAACAAAATTTAAGAGACTAGAGGGAGCTAATTATTTTTATTGGTGAAAAAAATGAGCCTACTTGTTGAGAAGATCTTTATACTAAAAAAAATATTCTCTTACACTACCCTAACAAGATATCATAGGGTCAGTAAACTTATACTCCCTATATTCACCTTAATTGGTTGTCATCTTTAATGAGTAGTGTCGGGGTTAATTTTCTCTAACCTACATATCCAAAGAAAACAATCCATTTGAGCCATGCGATGACCCTATCCTAATGAGTCCACTCACCTTTTTGTCATGCCATTTTTGAGAAAAGATGTAAATAAAAATGTTAACTTTATTTTTTTTTAACTTTATTTTTTTTATTTAAAGATATTAATTTTATTAATTTTTAAATTAAGATGTCAACTTTTAATTTTTTTTATTTAAGGATTAATTGAATGATAATATTAACATGATAAACAAATTTTTTAATCAGAATATTGAAAGTTGACATCCTTAAATAAAAAAAAAATTTAAGTTGACATTTTTAAATAAAAAAAATTAAAAGTTAATATATTTAAATAAAAAAATTAAAAGTTGACATTTTTAAATTGAAGAAATTAAAAATTAAAAATTAACATTCTTTTTTAGAAATTGACAATGTTAACATTCTTAAGTAGAAAAGAAAAGTGCAAAATTAACATCCTTATTTGTACATTTTCTCTGCCATTTTCTTTTCCTTACTTATGGTAAATAAGCCGTTAACATAGACAATTAAGTATCAAATGAGGAATTGAAGTTCTAAGACAGTCACAAACTAGGATATATATATATATATATATGATATTTAGAGTTGCTCTCATTCGATACGCCACACATTCAAAAAAGAGTTGGCCTCTATATTTTACCAAGAAAGTTAGTAGCAGCATTAGCCTGTCTATATATATGGCAGATCATAACATTTAGCATTTTCCCCATCAACAACCTGTAATCATCATTTTGATGTGATGTATAATTCTATTTAAACTACTTCCATTAGTTTTCACTTAAAATGGTGCTCCTCTCATGAATGAACATTTTGTAGTTCTGATTCATAATCTTTGTTAATTTGAGATGTTTCTTTCCTACTTTTTCATCTCTATATCATCTTTGTAGGGGCAATTCCGTTATGGTTTTTGAACTAAAGTGTCTTTGTTTACATTTCTTACCTTTATGCAATCTTGTGGTTTATATTAATAGCTAGCAATAAGTAGCAAAATCTCTCATATTTTGAAAATTAAAAATTTGGCTTAAAGTGATTGGCAAAAAGTTTTCCCCAGAGTGCTTAGTTCATGTGATATATCAATCACATATCAATCTAAGATTGTGACTCAGTTAGTAAAGGGGTTTCGCTCCTCACTTTATTGGCTAAGGTTTGATTTTTTGAAAAAGCTAATAAAGAAATAAGTTTTCATGAATTCCCATAGTCCTAGCATTGATGGTCTACCTTTAATCAAATTAGGGAGAGATAAGTTTGGAGGTGTTAATCAAGAGATAAGTTGTCATGAATTTCCATAATCCTAGCATTGATGGCATACTTTTAACCAGACTGGAGAGAAATTAGTTTGGAGGTAAGCAAAAGCTAACTCAAAAAAACCTTGACTACTAAAACTAAAAAAATAAGAAACAAACCACAAGCATATTCATATGAATCTTTTGGTCTGAAAAGGGCACCTAATTGTCCTGACCCTTTTGCATACAAGTTGAAAATAGGGTTAGGTCAAAGATACCTGCAAGAAGCACCAATGGAAAATATATATAAACCACATAATTAAGGAAAATAATAAATAAAATTAAATTAAAATCTTCAAAGAAAAAGCCAAATGAAAATTTAGTGTTATT